AAAATTTTTAAAATAAGGTCACAATTATATGCATTTTGGTCACAGATATCTTATTAATTATTTAAAAATTAATTTTCGACCACAACTTATCAAATTAATTGGTTACAGATTATTTCGAGGTCACAATTTATAGGTCACAATTGATTTCATTGGTCACTGATCAAAAAATTTATAGGTCACAAATTTTTAATTGATCACAAATTTAAAAAAATTATAGATAACAAAGATCACATTTCCAAATTTCTTGGTCACGGATTATCGAATTTTGAGGTCACGGTTTAATAGTTAGTCATAGAGAATCGTATAGTTGGTCACATACACCCAAACACTCGTCCCCCAATCATAATCCACCACCAATACTTGGTACCAAATAATTGATCATAGACACTCTTCGTCATACCCCTGCCACCGCCGCCACCACCATAACCATCAACCAACAATAACACAAACAACAACCACCACCCAAACCACCACAAATCAGCCCAAACCACCAACAACAGCTAACCACTAACAACAACCACTCACACAGAACCTCCGCCTCTCCGATTCCCTCAACTCAGATTCGCCACACACCTACACTACACATATCAGCCACCACCAACCACCAACAACATCCACTCACATAGATCCGTCCAACACCCATAGATCCGTCGTCTCTCCGATTCCCTCAACTCCGATCCACCACACACCCACAACAGCTACCACAAAGTCGCGACTCCGACCCACACACCCACAGCAGCGTCGCAGCGCTACTGTGAACGGCAACATCGTTGAGGCGTTGCTGCAATTTACATCGTTGAGGCGCTGCTGTGAACGGTAGCAGCTCCTCAACGCTGCTGTGAAGGGAGGGAGAGGGAGAAGGGAGGAGGAGCCGTGGCGGAGAGACTAACAGTGCGGTGGAGGCGGCGGGCGATGGAGAGAAATTGTGAGAAAGTGGAGAGATGGATAGACTGTAAGAGAGTTGAGATAAATTGATTAGTTTAGGGTTTGATATGTAAAATAAAATACCTGATTTTTGAATAAATAAACTTTAAACCTGATTTTTAAAAATCAATCTTTAAATACATGGTTTTATGTAATTATCACTAAAAAATATATATTAGGCCCTACTACTCAATCCAATGGATTGACTATTTGGCTTGCTGGTTTTATTCACTTCACAAATCACACACACAGAGCCATAGATACACTCGGCGCTTCAAACCCAAAATCAAACAATTCCATCCAATTCCAATTGCCAAACCCCATTCTCTGCTGCCAGCACTCACGCTAAACCACCATCGAGTCGTCGACGCTAAGCCACCGACCACTATAGCATTACACTACAACTGCATCGATGGTAACTGATTCCACTCGTGATGGCGTGACGTGAACGGTGAGCCTCCTGCCTCTATTCATTTTTATTTTTATTTTTTATTTTTGTTCTTCTAGTTCGTTTATTGATTTATTATTTATGAAATTATAAGTTATCGGTTAAATTAATTGGTCATGATTTATGAATTTATGTTTTATGAATATTTACTATAAGTCTGTCTGTGACTTGTAAATTGTGAGTCTACTGTTAGTATTTATGAAAATTTGGGATTTTGTAAATCTGAGAATATGTGATATCATATACGTGGGCTATGGAATCCGTGAAAATTGAGGATTTTGTGAAAATTGATGATTTTGGAAATGGGAACTTGATGATCCGTTGAACATAGATCCAATTTTTCCATTTTTTGGATTCCTTGAAATTTAGTTTTCATGCTACACTTTTTAGTTATTGGGAGAACTCAACTACTCTCTTTCGAATTCAGGAAACAACTCTCAGAGATCTTTTTTTCCCTTGATGATAGTTAATATGTGATTTATGTTTTAGTGCATTTATAAATTTTTTTAAAATATTATTTAATTTAATATTAATAAACAATCTCGTTAATGTAAAGATGGCAATGGGCCCGAGCCAGCTCGACCCGTATACACACGAGCCCGGCTCGTGGCTCTGGGAGCTCGCCAATTTTTTATTTTTTATTTTTTAAGATAAACTTTTTTTAATAAAAAAACCCTTCGCTTGGAAGAGCCCACAAGCCGCTTGTTTTTTGACAAGCCAAGCGGGCGAGGACGAGTCCTAGCTACTCACGAGCCGTATTTTGACGAGCCGCTCGACCCGTTTACCACCTCTACTTTAATGCATCGGTTGACGATCACCGACTGCCCTAACTGGCTCCAATTCCTGAATCCACGACTATTTCTTATAATAAAGTTGCCATTGAACCAGTAAGTTTGGCCAAACTTAGGCCCTGTTTGGGAGTGATTTTGATTTTTTTACAGTAAATCAATTCCCATTTTCAACCACACATTCTTCAATAAAATAATATTTTTCATCATATCAATAATTTTTTCTTCTTTTTCAACCACACATTTCCCATCATGTCACTATTCAAAATCAATTCTTTCCCTAAAAATCCCTCCCAAACAAGCTCTTAAAAGTAAACCTTTCATTTAAAAGAATCATTTACCGTGCTTTTGAAAAGCCAAAAAAGCTGCTTCTTTAAACCATTCATATAATTCTTTGATAGTGTTTTATCTTGTTAAAACTATTCAAGGTAGTTTTCTCAAGAAGCTTTTCACACAAAAAAGCCCTAAAGAGGCCAAAAATGTTCAGATAAAATCAATTTACTTGTCTGCATGAGCCACTTGTGGCAGCTTCTTTATATTTCCAACTACTTACTGATATAGAGATCATGGAGTCCTTTCTGTTCTATTGGACAATAAATGCAACTTTCTTACTATAAAAGTAATATTTCAGTAGTTATATTACCGTTAAGCCAAAAATGCACTAAAATCACAACAAAGAGAGAGAAACGAAGTCGAGAAAGAATACACTGTAAAATAATAATGTAAACAACGTTCAATGTTCAAGAACCAGAACAGCGATTCGGCTTTATTTAGCAACATTACTTAATTTCTTGGACGTGACAGCTGCCTGAAGAGTTCACTGAGATGTTGGCGCTACCAGGAGTGCTACAGTCCAGAGATTGTTTGCTTGTGTATGGCGATGCATCAGTTACCCTAGAACGACAATTCTTAGCTCGAAATAAAAGTTGATAACAAGCATTCATAAAACCCGGTAACATCATTAATATGCAAATCTATCGGTGTCAACTAATTTATAATGATCATAATACTGTCTACCATATCTCTATCTCCCTGCATATGAAAAATTAATCCATACGTACATGTTTGGTATGCAATACTAGATGGGAGTAAACAGTATAATGACATCTTGAGCAAAATGACTTTTTCTTGTAGGGACTAGCCTGACAAGCTCCCTTATGCTTTAGTGGGATAGAGGATTTCAATTCAGACCCCCTACCGGGGCACAAGTTTTGTTGGGAAACAAAAATAAAATGGATTCAAGTAAAGCTTTTTGGAACATATCAATAAATTAGACCCATAGTAAAAGTTGTTTTAAGACATAAATGAATTTGAACACTCAGAAAACCCGTTGGACTGGCGGATTCGCACCTCGTACAGTTAACACAGTCCTCGATTCTTGGGGCAGAAGCAATTTGAACAAAATTTTAGTTTATTTTCTCTACTTTAATATTGCATAGTACTATATTATCCTCCCTACCAAGCATGCCATAAAGATGACAATGGATAACAGTGTCACATTCCCACAGCACACATCAAGCAACTGCAAAAATATTTGACTGTATGGACATTTTCACTGCACGTTTCTTACAAACAGTTTATACATTCTAAAAGCAAATGAAACCACATTTATTGATAGGAAGAGTTGTTGTGCATTTGTATCTAATGCAAGTGTGATTAATGTGTTTGATAAGTTAGATTGGATCAATTCAACCTAAATGCATTCTCATTTTTCATTTATAATGCCAAAAGTTCTACTAAAAACAGAATATAAATTGGAAACTTACACAATATAAAGCAATAACTAATTACCTTTCTTTACGCTTCTCCAGAAACCGAGCCAAAGACTTCCTCCGAGCCTGAGGGACAGCGCCTGCAAAAACGATATGCCTCTATTATGCTTACATCATGCAATGGAAATTCACATAACGAAAGCTAAAATCTAATCGAGCTGCATCCAAGACACTGAAGAAGTTAAATTAAAAAGGCACAAGACTGTACCTGATGAAAAAAAGGTTGCAGGAACAGATCCAATCAAATTGACTACTTTCACGGGCTCCACTTTATTCGGAATTGGACCAACTCCTGGTTTTATAGCCGTCAGATCATTGCTGCTACCCAACCGTCCAGCAGACTGAGAGACATTAATAGACGTTACAGACACGGGGCTTGAACAGTGCAATGTTGCGCCATAATGTTTATTTACACCAAACCCATCAACGATAGGAGATGGGAGCGCAGGTGCTTGAATTGAAGCAGTGGGGACTGTTGTTCGAGAAGTCATGTGGGACCCAGTTCCAGCCAATAACATGATTGCCTGAGCCTGTAGCCGTGGATGAAAAATATTAAGGAAAACAAAATCAATCAAGTACTAAAACTGCCCTGGTATTTCTGAAGATCTTCAAATATACCTTTTCCGGAAGAACATTGTCATAAACACACACAGAACCAGCATAGATGATGGTCAACTGAGCAGGAACACCTGAAGTCTTCGAAGCACTTCTACAGAACATATTAGTTTGATTCAGCCTTGTAAGTTGTAATTATACCTTTTTAGTAAGGTTGTACTTCCAATTCGTACTGTGTACAGGAAGCATGAAAGGATGTGACACACAGACATTTATTTCCAAAAAAGGTATGAAATAAAAATGCCGTGCACACTCATTAAAATACGTGACCTGTCAGATGCCCATCCTAGGAGAAAGTATTCTACTTCAGAAAATTAATCTTTTCTTCTGATGCGCGACACACCTCCAATAATTGCAGTCTCCATCCTAGGCGGAACTCTCTACTTCATGCTTGTTTGATAAATCTTCACTAAAACTTTATATACTTTTCAACTGACCAAACTTTTAATCACATATTTCATGGAATTCACAACTTTTATCAGTCTTTCAATTGCATATTTCATGTAACTTTTTATCAAAATCTGCTTGAACCTTTATCAAAAGCAATGTCAAACTACCCTTCATAATAACTGTCTTTGAAAGTTTATACTTATAGTGTCACTTGACGTACCTCAATCCAGTGGCATCCATAACAGAGCTACTAGGAGGAACAGCCAGGAGGGGATTTGTCACTGGAACAGCCAGAGGTTGCGGGCTTGCTGAAAGAGTCAGATACTGTCCAGCTAGCGAAACTGTTTGATTTGTTTGAATGGTAACTGGTGGTACTCTAACATCTTGAAGGCCATGTGTTTCAAAGTTCTGAGCAGGATAGGTTGTCACCTTATAGTGAAGTCCCCCGTGATTTCCAGGGAAAATGGTTTTCTGAATATTAAAAAGGTAAAACCAATACAAATGTGTTAAATTAAAACTAGGATTTTCGCTGGGTAATGTTTTCTTAAACATGGATATAAAAGAATTACTACATCAAGTTTAGGAATCAAAAGTTATGAATGATTCGGAAGGATATAGTAAATCACCTGCGTGACACCTGAGTATGGTTTCTGATCAGAGTTGAACGCTTCTGCAGCAGTCGTTATGGTCACCAATCCAGTTGATGCAAGGGAATCAAAACCAGCCATAGGCTTTCTTACTTGAGCACCCTGAAAAGATAACAACTGAGGAACAGCAGAAACCTTGTTTGAAAATGACCACTGCATTGCTGAACTTCCCACTGGACCTACAAAATCAAAATAGAATATACCAATTTAGTCAAATGTATCATGGAAATTTCCAGAAATTACTACCATCTAATGAAACAAGCAATACACTTTCATTTATTGGCTATTACCTAATCAATTCCAGCAACTAAGCAGTAATGTGGTAAATTGTAGGTTCGAAAACTACATAAAAACGATGACAGTAAGGGACCTTCTAAGGTTATTCACATATGAACATTTTCTAAGAGAGCAAGCTCAAAACTAACTTAAAAGGTACTTCTAAGTAAAAAAAATTTCCAAAAACATGATTGCATAAGTTAATTTTTAGTACTTACAAATAAGAAAAGTTACTTTATTTTGACAATAAGGTAAATATTGCTTTCAAAATAAGTAACTTACTTAGTTACCTATACGGAACTTACTTATTATAAGCCCTCGTTTGACAACCATTATTTAAAAGCTCTTTTTAATACATACTCATTTTCAACTATACATTCACATGATAAAATATTCTACACGTAAACCCAAAATTTTTCTTTACTTTTAACATTGTTTTGTCCAAATAATGGCCATTAAAAAAAGGGCTAGGTAAAGTTTAGTAACTCGAGGTGCTTCAGTTGCAGCTGTAAAAGGTGTGAACGTATTGAACAACCTGATTAAAAAATTGATTGCTAGGCACTCATGTGCATTTAATAAGTGATTATTATACTCATCAAATGCAGAACAAGCAAAGAATATGTAAAATCATCTGGTCAAAGCAAATTTAATAATGCCACCATCCCATTTAGAATATAAAAAGCACTTAATTTATCACATAACTTATTCCTCTTTTTGGGTGGTACTATAATAAATTATTATACATGTCTGTGACATCTTTGAGAACACAACTCCTTTTAATATAAAATATTAATTTAACAAATAAAATAGTGAAAAGGATGATGAGGTACATGATGGCAATGCACACTTTAAATAACACAAGAAACGTGAAAATGAATATAAAATTCTGAAGGATTATGCAAACATTGAAAATTTCCCACTGCATCGCATAAAAAATATTTTTTTAGTATTCATTTGAATCGTTCTAACAATAACGTGAAAAATACACCTCATGTATCAATCCACTCAACGAATAAACTATTACTGTAAAGTTAAAGAGAATGAGAAAAAAATTAGTACACTGTACCTCTTGTTATTCGACAGCTAACTGCAAATAAAAGTAAATTAAATAGCAAAATTACAAACTGGACATCTCAACTCAAAATAGATAAATAATTTTGAGTAGGGTTCTTTAAGATTCCAAGAAAGAAAATGAAAGTAATCTTCAAATTACATGTTTTGGTTTTTGTTCTTTGTGTTACAGACAAGCTTTCAGACTTGACCGAAGCTTGTTGTAGAAGAGAAGCACATGAAGCTGCATCAGTCATATTTTCTCACAGATTCAGAAAAATACCTAAACCGGTACAAATACAGTTTTTGAATTTTCAAAATCCCCGTAAAAGGGGCCTAAATATGGTGGGTTGAACACAAAGTTTAATTATGCTCAGATGGCCAGTCACCATCTAATAGAGAGATGATTAATATGAAATTTAAGCTTCGAAATTTACGAAACTCTATATTGGGTTGTTTATTTTGTTAAAGCTACTTCATTTTTGTAAACCTATCAAGTTTTTTTTTCCATTTCAAGATTGTTTATCTAAAAATAAATCTTAAATAAGCACAAAATACGTAATAAAACTACTGCTTTCATAAATTTGACACTTCAATTTCTCTCTTATATATGGATATTATTCTCAGAACAAATCATTATATTTCTAAATATGATAAATTCAAGAAAAAAAGAGAGAGAGAGAGAATAATTTTGAAGTACCTGAATCCACGGTTTCATCAGGAGTCTCCTGTTTTACAGTCAATCCAATGAAATCTCTTTCCATTTTCAACTCAATTCTTCACCTCAGAATGAATTCGGGAAAATTCGCTTTTACCAGATGGAAATTAAGGAGGAAAAAAAATCCGTTCTAGAGTTTCAATGGATAAAAAAATTAATAGCTGCCTGGAGGGTTTGGCTATGGCTGTAGAGAGATAGTGCAGATTTGAAGAGAGAGAGAGAGTGTGTGGTGGGGGGAGGGGGGGTGTACGTATATGTAAGTATGATGGAGAGTTCGTGACACGACACATTCTCAAGATAACGAGATTCAAACATTTCTTTCTCGTGGCCAAATCCTTCACCGGCTACAACAGGTTATCGACCACCGAAAAATTTTAAGGTCGTGTTTGTTTCAAATTAAAATCAAACAATTAATAATCACATTTTTCATAGTTTCACAATTTTCTAACCACACATTTCAAAATTTTCTATTACAATCTAATAAAAATCTAATTTTAATCCCCACCAAACACCCAAAAGGAAATATTTCTTGTCTTTTGATTTTTCTTTAAAAAATAATAATTATTTTTTTAATTAAATGACCTTTCAATAAATAATTTTAGACTTGAATTTTTTTAGTTATATTTAAAAAAAAACATTTATTACAAAATCACTTCTCAGCGAATCAAACTCAAACAATGGCTTAATAATTATTACACGTGAGGTCTCCAATCTTGGCGTGATGTACGATTCAGACATCTAACTTATTTCCATTGATTTTAAGATCTTTATACTCATAGTTCTTGTTTGGGAGAGCAAAAAAACTGATTTGATAAAAAGGCGTGGTAGATCTCATGAAGTGACTGGTAAAATAGTGATAATAATTTTGTCTTATGTGATGTTTGATTAAAATTAAGATAAAATTGCAAAAATGCCCACTTTTACATACTCGTTTACAAAAATGTCTAAAATTTCTTCAATGTCCATTTTACAATAATATAGGCAAAAATGTCATCATTAACAATTTTAAATTCCACAATGAAGACAAAATTATTTATATAATTAAAAATTATATTGATTAATAATAACTTGATACATAACATATACTACTTATCCATGACAAACATGCATTAAATACTCAATTCTCACTATAAATGGGTAAATAAAGCATTTATGAAATGTCAAGTAGTACACTTAAAATGTTAAGAACATTATGAAATCAAAAGAACTCTCATATTTATAACGAAATCTCGTTCTAAACAAATGAAGTGTCAAGGTAAGCATGATCCAAAACAATTTTTAAATATCAACTACCCATCACATCTCCTCTATGTTATTGACAATCTATCTTTGTCTTGGTAGAGTCTTTCAGTGATGTGTTTCGGTCCGTCTAAGTAGGAAATAATATACCTTAATATTATTGATCATTCTTTGATTCAAAGTATCGTCCAAAGAATTCTTTCACAAAATAATCCATTTCCATGAGATGGGAAATGAAAAGTATGCTAGGCGTAAGCATAGATCGATATGCTGAAATAAAAAAATACGAAGTACCAATGATATGAAAATAATGAATCCCATGGATTTAGCAGCAGTTCAAAATGTTGAACTATGTCGAGAAGTGAGTACGTCGTGAAATGTCAAGAATAACAACTATTAAACACAACTCATAAAAAAAAAAGATTTCAAAGAAAAATTACATTCTACCAAAATTTGTGGAAAGCCTAATCAACTACAAATTTGTGTGGGATTAAATTTTTCAAAATGAAATTATATGATTTTCTTATGAATTGGAGGCATATAATTATTTTTTAATGTTAATGATTTTTCTATTTCATCTTCTTCATTTTTCCCCCAAATTCTTGGTCAATACCTAATAAATAGTAAAAACAAATGAATCCGCTAGGTATTAGCCAACATTGATGTAGCTTCTCATGGAAGTTGCTTGATCTTCTCGAAATTTGTGATAAATTGAAAAAAAAAAATTGCTTCATTTTTCATTGAGGGTATAATAAATAATTTGGCACCAAATTTAGTCATTTTTGCAAGAGTTATTAAAATTAGACATATTTCAATTAACAAGCATGGAATTGATCATTTTTGTAAATTTTCCTTAAAATTAATTGTTGACTCCGACGTTAACTTTTATACAACTCTTTAAACTTCACATACAAGCACTTAATCTTATTATATTTTAGACCATACGTCGATGAAAACTGTCAATATGATCTTCGAATTGTCATCTCGTACACAGAAGTTAAATTAGAGGAATGAATCAATTGGAAGTGGAATGGATGACTACCGACTTATGGTCACTATATGATGTATGATGCTGATAAAAATTGGTAAGTCCCATGAAATTTATGGTAAAAGTGGGCAAAATGTATAAATCTAATAAAATGCATGGTTAAAAATAAGCTTACTGGAGATTTAATCAACTTTTTTAGAATAAAATCATTCCCAACCAAACATTGCGTTTTTCTTTTCATATAATATGTGAAAGATTTTCATCAGAATTTTTACTGTTGTGAAACTGCAAATGGGTCCTAGTGTGAGAAAAGAAATAAGAAAAAGGGCTGGTTGCAAGCACAACGGTTATAAAAATGGTTAAAATCTGGTATAAAATTCCTCCTAGGCATGGGCATTGTCTAGTTCCAAATTATTGTAAGAGTTTTAGGATCCGTTTAATTGCAATGGTGAAAATGAGTGGAAAGAAAATGAATTTCAAGAAAAATAATTGCCTAGAAAATATTTTGTAGAGAATTGTTAATTAAGGAGGAATTAAAAGCCAATTAAAATTGAAAATATGGCCGTTATTGGGTCCCACTCGTCTAATAAAAGTCAACAATAACGGCTATATTTTCAATTTTAACCCGATTTTAATCTCTCCCATACAAGGCCTAAGTGTGTTTGATTATTATAATTTTTCACCCATAAAATTTTTAAATTTTGTGTTCGTTTGGCTTTATTTTAAATGAAAATTGTTCATTAAAGTGATAATTTTTTCTACAATTAATTATAAAATTTGTTTCCATTGGCAAAAAGTAAAAAAAAAAATGTTCCTAAAAAAATATTTTTTAATCAAAGTTTATTGTTCGTTCGACTTTGTGTTACATAGAATTTGTCTATTAAAATGAATTTTTTTTTTATAATTGGTTATGAAATTTGTTTCAATTGCCAAAAAAAAAATGGAATTATAAAAGGTGGGAAAATGAATTCAAACAAATCCTTGAAAATGTAACCCTGTGAAGCCCATGTGGAAAACCAATTTCCAAGAAAAATGTTGCCATCAAACAAGCTTTAACCACCTTCTACCTTAAACTTAAGGATATTTCATGGAAAAAGTTGTTTATCAAACACAACCTTAATTATTGTTTGGAAACCAAGTCCAATTGCTCTTGTCGTTTTATAAAAGTGGTGGTCGGAAAAATTTATTCAAAAAATTTCATATTGGAGTTAATTTTCTCACAAACAAAAATGAAAAGGACTAAAAAAGAGATGTTTAGAGTTGTTGGGGGTGGAGGATTTTTCCCATCAAATTTGAGTTCCTATGGAAACGTGTGACTTGCTCGTCCGGTGATATGTGGTGATCTACCACGTGCGCCTAGACGTTTCGAAATATGTGGTCTTACGCTGACACGTAGCAAAGCTCTAATTTTCCGGTACAAGTTTTCATACAAATATTTGGTCATCTCAAATATATTATTTATCATCTATAAATCTCACGACACCCTACACTATTGTTTATAGATTTGTTTCATCCTTATTTTTTTCAAAATATATTTTTCTCTTTCTTCTTTTCAATCACATATTTTTCAATAAAATAATATTACACGTTAATTCAAAAAAAAAAAATTATTTTTAAACAACATATTCTTTATCAATCTACTATTACAAAATGCATTAAATAGGCCCTCAATCTTTAATCTTCAAAATAGAAATTAAACAGATATTTAATATATAATTTTTTTTTTCAATTTTCAATAATCAAGATCTTGATTAAACAAAAATGAATATACGCTCCAATATAATTTTTTTCAACCATCAAGATCTTCATTGAACAAAAATGAATATATGCTTTTTTGATTGGAATTAAAATTTAGATTTTAGTTTAAATCAAAGTCAACATTAATTTTAACCATATAATTTAGGAAAACCACAAATTTTTAGGGGGTGTTTGATGAATATTATCGAGAAAAGAATGTATTTTAAATAATGATATGATGAGAAATATGTTGTTAAAAAGTAAAAAAAAAAAGTTATTGATGCGATATAAAATATTATTTTATTGAAAATGAGTTTTGAAAGAATGTATATCAAATCGGGGCTCAATCATGCATTTTATCATTTTTTATTAAAATCAGATAAAATCTACAAAAAATCTGATTTTAATCCCATCAAATTGGAGATATAGTTTTAAACACCCGAAAGGATTCGATTGGACTCTAGCATTTAAAATACATAACCATTTGATTAGTCAAAAAAAAAAATAGACCAATTAGCTCAAGTAGAGACATGCAATTTGTCCAGATAAGTCGACTACGAGAACAAATTAAAGCACCTTCAATGATTGTCATTTGACAAAATTAACATACATAGATTTGACGGGAAAAATGTTCAGCTTATGCTCATGGGATGTATATGTTAATGTACTAAGCAATGTGAATTTCTTTGGAGTTTCTAAAAATACAATTACGAATAAAACGTGGTAAGTAATAGCAACTTCAATTAATCGGTGGAATTAAATTATCATGATTCCTCCTATGTGACAACACGTGGGGATTATGAATATGTTTATTCGTACTTAAGATTTAGGTCAAAAAATTATTTGTAGTAGAAATAACTTTAAACTACAAAATTAAAGATGTAAGCGACTGGTTGATAGCCTTTATTTTAAGAAACTGGAGTTTGAATAGTGATTTTTTAGAAATGTGTGGTTAAAAAGTAGGAAAAATTTCGTGTTTATGTGTAAAATATTTTATTTTATAATGACTGATTGAAAATAAATATGATAATTTAAAATTTTGAAATAACCAGTTGCCAAACTTGGGCTAAATTTTATTTGAG